AAAGACATTTTTACATTGGCTAATGAAAATGTAATCAATGTATTTAGCAGCTGTTATATTTATTACAAGATTTATGTCTAGAAATTCAAACCTACTTAAGAATTATAATTATGTAAATAGAGAGCTGTATATTTATATACAGGCTGTCCAGCGACGGGGAGACGTTATCGGTATCTGACAAAATAATGAATTATTTTTTGTTAAAAATAGTAAACAGGCTATGATCTTTCCATCTAAAATATTTTGACAGTTCTGTTATTTCCTTTTTATTTTAAATGAGATGCCACTTCTATTATTCCTGATAGCGATGGAACATGAAATGTTGCTTATTTGGAATATATACCTTTACACAACGCTCATGACGTCAGAGACAGTTTCAGTCGGGTATAATTTAAAATAAAGAATTTTAAAACGAATCGTATTAATTTGTACCTGTACCTAACATTTATGGCATCACTAGCCGAGTTGGCATCGGGTATATTTTCAAATGTAGAAACTGAAAATTAACCCTATTAAATTGTATACTTTTAAATGCGGGTTTCAAGGCATTTTAAAATATAAACTCGATCTCAACGAACTTAGAAACTTCTGTCACTCGATATTTTAATCGTTACTTCCTCTTCGCTTTTTGGTCGGCACAACAATTATTTACATTTTTTCATTCTTTACCACGTGCGAACCAGTACGGTTTAAAGAAATTTTAAAAAACCTACTTTAAAAATGAAGATGTTAATGATTTTCTCATGGATCCCATCTTCAGATCCTGACTTAATTTATGTAGTATTATTCATTTTCTAACAAAAAGAGAATCATAGAAACCGGGCAACGTGGTAAAGAATTATCGCTCAACATACATAAAAAAATATTTCAACGAATTGAGAATATCCTCCCATTTTAAAGTATGTTAAAAAAAATTGTTAATAAAGTGCAAAGTAGGGTGATAATATATATTATGAAGAATATAAAATGATAGATAAAGCCAGTGTAGAAAGTATTATAAATAAACTGTGGAAATATCGAGAATCTCGATTTTGAATCGGAAGAAGAGTATTCTATGCAATTTAGAATGAAAAATGATCAAAATGAAACAAATGAACGACATGCTAATATTGCTAATGTTATTGACAACTTTCTTCAAACATTTTCTAGTTTTCCGAAAACTAACTGGATAGTTCGAAAATCATTTCCGCCGTTAAAGCGCCTCTTGTTCCGAAAAAGATACACGCCTGTCAACATTCATCGTTCAACAAAAAAAGTATTAGATACAAAACGCTTCATATTGTAAGGCTAAAATATATTTGGAAATCAAAAAAGTCATATAAACAAAAAAATCATTATAGTGAGATAACTACCAAATTAATGATTTACAAGTTTATTCTTATTATCTATAAAATAGGTTTGCAATGTGCTGATGTGGAATGTTATCATCGACTAAAAACTTTAAATCTTTGTATTAAATTGATCGAAAACAATCCATAAATTGGTTTAGACTATACAGAATGTTTCTAATAAGCAGCGACTAACTTTTATTATGAAAACGAAAGACCCTTTTAAAAGGGTTTAAAATTAAAATAAAATATGTACCAAGTACCAAGTAAATGTAGTAGTATTTTTTAATTTTGAATCTTGAGAGATGCAGACATATTTGGATACTTTATATTGAAAATGGTAACATGAAAGGTTTTTTGTCTAATTGTAAGTAACGACTCACAGTCTTGGCTGACAAAATATAAAAAAATATCGAACATAATATTCCTGGGCGAAACGCACCTGCCCCCTATTTTGCACTACTCAAATTAAATTTACTTGTAGCAAATGATACTAAATCAAATAAGATCTCGTGACTGCAGCACTAATGATTTCTGTAAATTAACCAATTCATTTTTCATGCCATATTTTTCTTTCAAAAACATATTTATCCTACTTGAATTTTTTTCATCGTTTTTTATATAGAAGCATCTCTAAAAATGTATGAATAAAACATGGTTTAAACTATTTGTTCGGTCAATAAAAAACTTGCACCGGTCCTGTTCGAGCCAGCACCGTTATACGCATGAGCTCCGACACACTATTTTCTCCTTAGGGTTTCAGTTTTGATATATGGAATCGGCTTTCTATACTATTTCTATGCATCGGATGCATCTGAGATGTAAAAAATCTTTGATCACGTGATTCAGTATACGTAAATGTAATGGGACAGATGTGTCCGATGTGGATAAAAAAACGCTCGAGATGTAAAAAATGCATTCAAAGTGGATTCTCAAACGCGGCAAATCATTGTTTAACAGAAGTAAAAGTTGGAAATGCTTTTGCCAGTTCTCCCACTTTATACACATAAATTGACAGGTTGTCAGCGGATCTCACCGAAGTGGACACGATACATTGGCGTACAAAATTATTTTATAGATGTTAATAACAATTTCGAGTAAATAGTTTAATAAATTGTGAATAGCTGTTGAAATTTTGTAAAATTATAATTTGAATATTATAATACATGTTTAATAATTATTTATAATCCATAAATACATGCGATTGTCCGGTTCCGCCGATAACAATTTAAAATTACTTATTCTATGAAACGACACTGGCAGGTAAACATTACTGTGAAATTCTCGGAGCCGCCCGACGTGGTTTGACATTTACCCCCTCTCTACCTACCAAAAGACTTTTCAACTTTTACTTTCTCTATACCTTCACTTAAAATCTCGAAATATCAAGAGGTAGGCTACCAGTTTAACATTTTGGATAAATATGTGTTGCCTAACATAGTAGTAAAAGAGTCAAAATGGCTGCGCCCTATGTTGGGCGTGTCAGACCTCTTTAAAAGTATGTGGTTTAGTGTCATGTTTAGTGTTTAGTCCACATACTTTGATTACTATACGAGGCAAGAGAGAGGTCCGACACGCCCAACATAGGGCGCGGCCATTTTGAACCCTGTGACACAGTTTACAGCTAAAGAATCAGATCGCTCACTCTGCGTCGGCACTTTTGATCTCAATGTTTCAGTTTATACACTGTGCAACTCGGATAATACAATATATGACAACCGCCTATAATAAAACAGCAGTCTTCTGCGTATCCTGAATTTGTATCCCGAGAGTGGATGTTATTTTGGAACTTTCAACTGGTCCGAGTGAGCTGACTGATTCTTTAGCAATAAACTGTGACTTCAAAAATAATATTCACTGACACTGACAGCAGCAAGCAAAATATCAGGTGCGTTTTAATCATCCGCTTCTGCTTCCGGAATTGTCGGTTGTGTCGTTTTAACCTGTCAGATTAAACAAGAAAACTGACAATTCCGAAGCAGAAGCGGATGATTGAAACGCACCTATTAAAAATATTGCGCCAAGATGTAGGCAACACGTAATAAGGGTTCCAAATGGCGGAGTTTTCTATCTCCTTTTAAAAGGCACTCAGAAAGCTGCGCCGTGCGACCATTCTCCGTATAGTAAAAGAAAATCAAAGTATGTGGTTTAGTCCAATTAGTGATAGTTTAACACGCTTAAATGTCATTTAAAAGTACCCTAAAAAACTCCGCTTTTGTCCCGCTCCTGCCCCTGACTAACCGAACTCGCCTTCTGTGTGTCGGTTTGTTCGTTGGCTTGGTTTTGTATAACAAAAAAAACTTCGACACAAGCTGATTGGTCTATTCCCGATGACGTATAATTTCAAATTTTAAATTTCAATTGGGTTTAATTTAAAAACTTTTGGCTTTTTTAACGAACTGATTATTTAGAATAACTTGTATAGCGACTAACTATTACAATATAATTTATAAAACAGCATATCTCACATGTGAACATGGCCCATTACTATGGGATAAGAACTATACGGGGTGGCTCGTCTGAGATGGAACACCATGTATATAGTAAGAATAGGTAATTGCTTGGTAGCTATTACCACCGGTGTGAAGTTAGCAGTAAGTTTTTAGCAGTAAAAATAACCGAAAACGCCCGATTGGGAAAATAGTGGCGTCCGGCATACAACTATTTTAATAATCTTGTCAATATGTATTTTACATTAATATCGAACAAATAATTAATATACATACCGTTGAAAATGTCCGATTTTGAGATTATATTTAAATTTCTCAAAAATATATTGGATGGAAGATGGCCATAATTCGTGAAATGCAATACTGGTGCCATCTATCAACAAATAGTCACACTATCGAGTTGCACATATTACTTGTAGAGGCTGAAACTTGATTTTAATTAACGCACTTTTCTCTCACGCTCATGGAGAAACGATTATTACTCACGTTCAGGCCTCGCAACGAAATGTAGACAGGTGTAACAAAAAAGTTACAAAAAATGAGCCTGGTCCGAGCTGGTGCCGCTAAAAATATCCGCTAAGCTAGCGGATCCGCGCTTTTCTCAGGTTCAGTACAAGCTACAAAAGGGAGACTGGCGTAACAAAAAAGCTACAAAAAAGTTACGAAAAACCAGCTGGGTCTGAATCTGTGCCGCTACTATGGAATTTATGGATATTCAAGCTAGCGGATCCGCTGTTTTTTCGGACCTGGGCAAAGCTACAAATTCGCAAATAGCGTAACAAAAAAGCTACAAAAAACCCACCAGGTCTTGTATGGTGCCGCCACAGAGTGCCCGCTAGCTTGATATAGCTAGAAAATGCAGATATATCTGTTTCTTGTAGCAAAGTTCTTAACTGTTTGTAGACCAATACCTGCATTTAAAAAAAGAAGTTAGTAAAATCTAGCACACTCTGTATATTCAAACAGATATTGAAACTTACTTGCTTTTCTTTATTCTTAATTTTATTTAACACGGCTATTGTTTACATCTCTCTTAAACAGTTACAGTAGGCGTTGACAATTGAAATTCGAGATTAACGCGCATCCCCTCTTCAGACAAATAAGAAAATACGCAAGCGGTTGGTGGCTGTAGGATTCAGCTTATTTTAAAATAAACACCCACCTTTATCAAGATTGGCTTCAAACCGTTAAACAAATCTATATTTCTTTGAATTTTTTTTAGGCAATGGGTAAGTTTGGAGATGAATGGACTTGTAACCATGGACCATTAGAGTGCTATCTTAACAGTGTTGATTCATGTCTTATCAATTTGAAACCTTCCCAAATACAATTACTGTCTTTTGCTTCTTGTCATGGAAAGAAGACAAGCATTCATAAATCTCAGGAAGAAACTGAAGCAATAGTTAAAGAGGTAAAATAAGTTTGGATTTAGTATACAGTAGGTATATTTAATCAAAAATAAAATATCAATATCAATAAGCTAGGTAGTTTTAAGTATTAAATAATTTTCTTAATAATAGGGGGTGTCATCTTTTGGATACATATTTCTTTAGAAAATTTTATTTAATTGTCCTCTTTTCATTTTAGCACATTTTTTTAATGTTAAGTTCAATTTTTTGTAGTTCCCATTAGGAGATAGATAAATGTGCATAGTTGTGCACATAAGGTGTCAAGGATTGTAAAATAATGATTTATTAACAAAAATCAACACATACGCAGGACATAGATGCTAAAATATGACAAAAACAATTTAATAAAATGAAAACGAAATTATTATTTTGATTCAAAAGCCATAAAAGAATTTTTATCTTACAAAAAAACATAAATGAATATTGCATTTTTGGCATTTTATTCTCGATTTTGATTTGTATTTAAGAAATGTACACTTACTTGGTTGCTTTGTGTCATCATAAACCGGAAAATGATCTACACCATCAAGTTAAATCTCTTAGTGAACGAGTTTCTCCACGACTTCGTACCGGAAATGTTTTGGCGCCCTTTAAATATATGTAGTACCTACACCGTGCATAAGTACTTTGTGGATAGTTGGAGACATAGGATGCCAACCGTATAGGTCAACATACAACCGAGCTGTGGTTTTGGCGTACTTACCAAATTTTTCCGTGTCAATTTCAAATCCACTTACTTGATAACTTTTCAAGTGCTATTTTGAATTTTTTTATCAATTCTTTACTTATTCCTGTTATCTCTGAAGCAATTTCAGGATTCTCAAAAAACCTAGATGTATTCGTATTACCGAACCCAGCTTTGGGAATATCGACAAGAAGACCCATTTGCTCTTTGAAATCCTTTTGTATTTTTTCTTTTCTGTCCTGCTTTTTTATCTTCTGCACTTCTTGCTTGCCATTTTTTTAATGGTAATTTGTATGATAAATGCAAGAGACCCTCAAAAAAACGTATTCTGGCATGAAGAATAGACAAACCAAACTTTAGCGATTCAGTGTTTATTACTTGTGTAGTTGAAATCTTTGGATGTCAGTCCACATATGTAACATCTCATCGTGGAAGTAGTATTTGTGGCAGCATTACAAATTTTGCCATCCATCATTGTGGGCAATAGGGTATAATTTACTTTTACACCTGTATTGCAAATTGTTGGAACTAAATTTTTCGTTTGTTCTTCTATGTATTTAATTTCTTCATTTGTAAAGTCTTTATCTTTATGGATGAATCGAATACGAATAGGCCTATAAAATCTTACAGAGAAGGGGACGGGGTTTTGCCATATTATGTTCTTTTGATCATCAGCAATTAGTCTAATAGGAACCAGCGAACCTTGAAAAATATTTGCATCACTATAAGTAATATGTTTGAATTGAGTTTGCTGCGATCCATCACATCCCCATTTTACTATAAATTTCATACTTTGCTTTTCGTTATCTGTACAGGTTGATATGACTTCTTTGGAATACTCGCATATGCGTAAAGTAGTGTGATCAAGTAACGCAACTTTCAAGTTTATCACTCATTTCTGTAGAAACAAGTGTATTATCGCCAAGTTAAACCAGATGTCATTTAAGGTTTATGCATTTAGAGTTAAATACCTGGCCTGGCTATTACCCAGACAATACAAATATGTCCATTGGATATACAATTTTGGATGTCTAGACGTCCAAAAATGAGTTTTCTGGACTTCCGATATCCAATGGACGTCCAGTGAAGGATACAAATGGCACACTTTTGACCATTCAGAGGACGTCCAATTCTGGAATATATTTGGACGTCGAATACTGGACATTCAAAAAACGTCCAGGATTATATTTCCATCTTAGATTAAAGAGACCGAAGATGTAACATTGCACACTGCGCATGTTGTCTATTTTAAGCCAAAGTAACCCACCAATTGAAAATCATTGTTGCACGACGCCACCCGAATTGCTCCGATTTCCATTCAGCGATCACCTCCACCTGAGTATAATCACCATTGACAGCTGTTTTTTGATTTATTTGTTGGTATTTTAGCAATTTAAAGTGTTCTAGTTATTCAATTTCAAGTTCAAAATGTCACGATGTATCTTGAAAAATTGTATGTACTTATAATACAAGTACTACTGTTATGAATATATTCGTTTTCAGCGGTAAATATTTATTAACGTTTTGACATAAAGCGCCATGATTCTCTGGGCTGAATACTTCAGATCCGCATTAAGGGGTTTCAATAAATATTAAGTATCAGAAATCAGATTTCATATTACTTACATAAATTTACAAAAGGGTAAAATTTTGAACATTTAATTTAAATAAATAGTAAATAGGCATTATTGCTAACGAAATTTTGTATTTAAAAAGTAGTTTTATAAGAATGTTTTCTAAAGGTAGTTTTTAGCACTTTTTGGTAGATAAATCAGAGGTAAAGAATCATAGTTGCTAGCTAAATTTTATTTTTATAAGGTATTTTTATAAGGTATTTTTATAAGAATATTAGATGAAATACAGGATGACCTACTTAAAATTTCAAGGTTTATCTTATTGGCGGTCAAATCGAAAGTGACATTGAATTTTAAGTCTTAAAACAAAGTAATCTAGTATAAGCAAAAAAAAAATACTAAAGTTACAGGAGTTAGATCCGATTCCACCGTTGTGTTAAACGGAGATTAAAATGACAGTGTTAATGTAAAAATGTCATCTTAAACTTCGTTTAACACAACGGTGGAATCGACCCTTAGTCACGTTAATAAAATGTTACATTACAAACCCCTAAACAACTCGAACATAATTTTCGTTTACTAAAAAAAATCGAAAATTTAGCAATATTTATTTATTATACAATCGAATGCGATTTCAAAGATAACTGGATCAAAAAATCCGAATCTCTAAATTTTGGAGCTAAATGCTCAGATAAAAGCAAGCGACCGATAGGGGTTACAAAAATAATCGATTTATCAATAATTCTGATATTTTTTAATGAAAATCGATTTATCCGCTGTTTTTAATAAATTATTTTCGTTTTTTTTTAAGATAATGTATTAATCGATTTTAAAGGAAATACAAAAAAAGTAGATTTATTCAAAATAATCGATTTATCGTTTAATCGGTTTTTTAATTATTTGATTATTTTCGATTTTTCAAAGATATTATATGAAAATAATCGATTGGATATAATCGGTTATTTTACATAATCGATATTTTGGTTATTTTTTTAAAATTATCGATTTATTGGATAATCAGCTTTTTAATAATCAATTATTTTCGATAATCGAATAATCAATTTCAAATAAAAGGAAATATGAAAAAAGGATTATTAGAAAATAATAGATAATTCGTTTTATTTTTTGGAAAATCGATTTATGATAGAATCGGCTTCTTAATTAATTGGTTATTTCCGATTAGGCGATTATTTTGGAATTATTGATTATTTTTGGTATTTCAAAGATAATCGAATTATCGATTTTAAAGGAAATACAATAAAAATAGATTATTGATAATAATCGATTGATCGAAAATTATCGATTATTTAAAATAATCGATCATTCTGTTTTTTTTGAAAATCGATTTGTCAGTTAATCGACTTTTTAATTAATCGATTATTTTTGAAATACAATAAAATAGATTATTGGTAATAATCGATTTATCATAGAATCGGCTTCTTAATTAATTGATTATTTTCGATTAGGCGATTATTTTGGAATTATCGATTATTTTCGGTATTTCAAAGATAATCGAATTAACGATTTTAAAGGAAATACAATAAAAATAGATTATTGATAATAATCGATTGTTCGAAAATAATCAATTATTTAAAATAATCGATCATTCTGTTTTTTTTTAAATCGATTTATCAGTTAATCGACTTTTTAATTAATCGATTATTTTTTATTAATCGATTATTTTCGATTTTTCAAAGATTATCGAATAATCTGTTTCCATGGACGAAAAAAAATGGTTTATTTGAAAATAATCGATTATTTAAAATAAACGATAATTCTATTTATATTATATTTTGTAAACACTCATCCCTAGCGACCAAATGACTTTTAATAGATTTAAATTTTAAAATGTTATCTGGTTTCAGACATATGCATTTCTAGAGTTTTATGTGACTCATCCTTTATAATAATTAATATTCTTAAAGGAAGAAGCCTTAATATACTTTTTTCTGAGGTTACAATACAAAACAGCATTTTCTCATTTTGCCTAATTTTTAATAATATGTAATAGCCGTAGAAAAAATATAATGTTCAACTCATAAGGGTAGATTTGCAGTATTAGCCTGCGCACATGCTATTTTTATAATACTCGTAGACAATGAGTAACATTTTTTGCTCTATTAACAATATATTCTATTTCAACATTTTACTGTAATCTCTTGCAGAAAAGTCCGTAGTAAATAAACGCTAACGAAATATTCTATAAAAGGTCTTCTCTTTACATAAAATGTCGTGGCATCTGTTTGATATTAAAAAATCACGGTAATTTAATTTCATAATACAAAATTCGATTAAACACCTTTTAAATCATCCTAATAGTTCATTAAGATGCTAATAAACAAAGTCCGGTCCCTGTCACAGAGTTCCGGTCGCCGCGTGTCGCCGCCCAGTTCCCCCACTCCGTTAACCCTTCTTTAGAAATTGGCAACATTTGCGCAGGTTTAAAACCGGTGTATGTTATATCTCTGGTCTCTTTTATCTAAGATTTCCATTAAGATCACATCCCCACTTTTTTACAGAACCACAACTCACCACACACTATTTTATATTATAATTTGTTTATTATTTTCGCAAATCGCTATACACCATTTATTTATTTTTTAATAAAAATCGCTTGACCTGAGCAGGAATCGAACTCACGACACATCCATTATTGTTTTCCTTGTCAATCGCTAGACGAGCTCGACCAAGGAACCACTTGAAAACTTTTTACAAGATACAGTTATAATTGAAAGGGATTTCAAACTTTCGCTGATAGAATGAAATGCAATAGATTCAATTTGTCAATTTTTAATGACCAGTTATATTAAAAAAAAGTATATATAGATGAGTATTATCTGGTAGGCTTAATAAATAATGACCTAAGATGGACGTCCACTGGACGTCAAAATACTATTGAACTTAAAATTAAGTCCAAAAACAGACGTTCTCTGGGTATCGATATTCAGCTGTCAATTTAATTAGCATAAACGGACGTACACTGGATGCCCGGATATGGACGTCCTGACCCTCAAATAGGTCTAAAGTGGACGTCCATTGGACTATGTGTGCATAGACGAATTTTTAGAAATAGTACTTATTTAATTATGCACCAATATTTCCAAAATCAACTCCAGTATGATTCAATCAATAAATGTAAATATGAATGAGCAAAACATCTTTATATTAACATAATTGTAACTTACAATTTAGCCATAATAAAGGGATTTTGCCCACTTTGACCAATCCTAATTGAAACACGCGAATTTATTATATTTTTTAAATATAATTTCAAAATAAAATAAACAAAATCTGCAGTTCATTGTTTATTAAATTTATTTAAAAGAAGAAAAACATATATTTCACAAAATACAATACCTACATATGAAAAATAAAATTTTTCAAAATGATTAAATCATTATACTTAATATTTATGCATGTGATAAAATTCTTAGTTTCCGAATAACTTTTTTGGCACATTTTATATCTGTATTAGATTAGAATACCTAAGTGTGTAAAAATCTTCATCTTATTACTACACAAAACAAACACCAAAAAATATCACTTAACGTTGCTCACGTACTAAACACAACTTGTACTGACCACAGTACTGACTTTGACAGATAACATAATTTTGAGTGATACACAACTTATTTTCGCACATGCGCGTTACAAAACGGTACACTGAAAACACCAAGCTGTCGCTTCTCCTTGATCGGTATTTTCGGCTTCCTATAGTGATCGTAGAAAAACTATTTTCAGCTTACGACTTTTTTAATTTGCACTACTGTCCGCTTGAAACCAGGGCCGACTGGAGGTGGGGGTAGCCGGGACAAATTTCCGGGACACATTTCCGGGACAAATTTCCGGGGCCCGGACTGAAATGTATGAGAAATTCAACACAAGACGAGAGGGGGAGTTTTACGTTGGGGAGCTTTTTTTTTTTAGAAACTCAATTCAACTAGAAGAGGAAAAGTTTTTGTTTGAAGAGCTGTTTTTTGTCACAAGGCCCGATCTAGAGAATTGTCCTGGGGCCCGGCCGTTGACTTACTACTTACTAGATATATTTATACAATACCGTTACTTTATGATGACGGTTTTAGGAAGAGTAAATAAAGCATACCTCGCGTATAAATCGAACCCATGTAATATCTATAACTTAATTAAATGCTCATTTAATACATTATCTTTTTATTATAGTATATTTATATTAAACGAATTTTTTTTAGTGTGCCGAAGAAAATAATGTATCATGGGATGACATTAATAAATGTTTAACTGACGGTACTGTTGAAACCCTTCTTTTGGCTAATCAAGAGAAAACAGAAAATGCCGGAGCCGATGCATATCCCGATATAAGATTTTTTAATAGTTTTTTTAATAACGACTTAGAGTTATCTTCTTTACAAGATTTGGTAGCGACAGTCTGTAATTTTTTTACTTCTTTCAAAGGTGCCAAACCAAGTGCATGTGATGAAGAATTTTTGAATGTCAAGAATTAAAAACACACTCAAAAAGTGTTAATTTAAAAACGTTTTTGTAATATAAATTAACACAGATAATAAATACAGAGCAATTTAATTTTTCAAATTTATTCACTATACTGTTGTCTAAATAAAATAATCAAATTGATATAGTTTTGTTTTTCTTTTTTCGTTTAATTTTCAATACAAAAATTCTAATGTGTTCAACACATGACTTTCCTGTCTAGTAATTACAGGCTTTTTCCGGTTATTAACCGACTTCAAAAAAGGAGGAGGTTATCAATTCGTCACGATATTTTTTTTTTATGTATGTTCAGCGATTATTCTTTAAGGGCGTGCATTGGAACAGAGAAGTCTGAACAAGTCCTCCCAGAGAGAGACAAAATAAAGTTATCCGAGAGGTGCTGCCTCTAGTCAGCAACTAAGTCACATGAATAATTAAAAGAATACCGGGTGTTCAAATTAAAGTGTTACAGTTAAATACCGCCGAAAATATGCATTTTAGAAAAAAAAAGTTTCAGGCGAAAGTTTTATAGTTTTTTGGGGGAAACATTTTTGCAAATTTTTTTTTTTTATAGCTGATCATAATATGGCCATATCGCGGTGGACTTTGTTTTTTTAAATGGGAACCCCATTTTTTTGTAAATATTCTTAAAGTACATAAAAAAATAAGAAACTTTAGATGGAAATAATTTTTTTATTCGACTTTCACTTTTTGAGTAACAGCTACTTAAAAATTTTGGTAGGCGAAAAAAAAGTTGGCCATATTATGGTTTGCTGAAAAAAACGATTTTAGCAAAAATTTTTCCCCACAAAACTATAAAACTTTCGTCTGAAACGTTTTTTTTTATAACAGGCAGCCAATATTTTTTTCCTGCATTTGCAAATTTTGTTTTCTTAGTCTAGAACAGAATAATATTATTAGAATATTGTACATTTATGAAAATTATCGGTGTATAGTACCTTTTTTGCATTTGCATGATGTAAGTTCTGTTATGTCTGGTGGCAGGTCGGACAGAGTCTTAGAGTGGGTATCAGCCTTCCATCTTGATCTACTTTCTATTCATACTCTTTAACAATAGAAAGCTGCATCTGCGGCTTTAAAGAGCTTAGCCAAATATTTAGCTGGTAAAAACATCTTAAACAATGTTATCTTAGGTCGTCTTCAGTCGGTGGCAATTTAGCAATGGTTTTTAAAGAGACCATTAATCCCCTTAAAATGTTAATGGAAGTAACACTGGCAGTTTTTGAATACATTTTTATGAAACATTTTTCAAGATTAGAGAATATGTTTTCTTTTCCCAATGCCAGACTATTGGCTGGTTGTATCATAACCGGTCAGAGAAAGAAAAGCAGGCAAATTTTTTAGAAGATACCATCCAAATTTAAATCATGTACTGCTAGAAATCGTCTTGAGTCTCTTCGCCCTGTTCTGAACCATATCTCTTTAGTCAAATACTTCTTGAAATAAATTTTTAAGACTAGAACATCTGTATCGTTGCAATCAATAATGCAGCATGAATGCCCCAAATTTTTGGCTAACAATATGTGCAATAAGATGCGAGTATCAGCTTCTTTATGATTTGAATTTAAGAAATCATCTTTTGATAGTTCAAAATTCGTCCCATATTTATTGATATTCGCGAATCCACCACTAGTTACAAATTAAATATGCTTTTGCTGAATGGAATTTTGAAGAAGTTGCTCTGACAGAAAATTTGTTAAACGTCTATTGTTAAATATCGAATGAATAAACAAGTTTCATTGTTGCGGAAGTGGTGTATTGGGTCGGTCAATTTCTATATCAATTGATTTCTGGGATCCTCTCTTTTGACGAGTTTTTGATAGAATGTTCTTTATAATGATCATATACCACATCAATCCTTTAAGCATTAAATTTATTTCTAAAAATAACATTTACAAATACATTAGCATATTCTTTAAATGATATACAACTTTTGGACTTTCCCAAACCTTGGACTATTGCCATCCCATCAAAAATGTGACAAGTTTTGCCAGAGTCAATAGGTGCAAGTAAGTGTCTTTGTGAGTAAATGCCATATTGTTCTAAAATATTTCCCAATGAACTCTTATTTGTGGAGGTGCCGAGATACCCATTTACTGTTAGATGCATCGGAGAGGCTGTCAGCTCAAACTTAAAATATTTCGGCATAATTAATGCTTCTACCCACATCCTTTGCTAATTAATTTTTTTAAAGAAACTGTTAACCATCCAAGGATTGAGAAGTTGAAGAGTTTTTAAGTTTTCTTTTGATTGTCTTTGTCCATTGTATTTTCTTTATAAAAATCTGGAGTATCAACAATACTTAAAAAACTCTAAAAAGTCGTTTGACCCTTTTCTTCTACTGTTAATTTTAAGGCCTCTACTTTTGCACTGTAAATTTCCTTAGATGATATAGAAGTTAATTTCGATGATACATATTTAAAAACATCAAATTTATTAGGCTGTTCCACTAAAGTAACCACAAATTCTTCATCTAATGCCATTCGTTTTGTTCTCTGTCTCAGCGTTAAACATGAAATATGTAATTAAAACATTGACCTCTTATTTTCATCCTGTTTGTTGAATCAACAAGCATATTGACTTGGCGAGGATTAAGAACATCCTTATTTTGATACCATTTTTGTCTTTGCTTCTTGCAACAACAAATCCATAATTAAAATTTTAAACGAAATCCTATAACTTATAACAAACAACCTGCAGGGTGTTTTGCTTTTAAAAAGTATAGATTTGGTTCGCACCTCGTTTATGGACCACCCTGTATATTTAGAAATAATTGTTAAATATAGTCATACAACTTTTATACTAAAAATTTCGTCGTTTTTCTAATAATTAAACAGCTATCTATCAAATATACACACTGTACATGTGTTATTGGCTAACATATTGGTATCGTTGTATAGACAAATTTTTAAGGAATGTTATGATAAGATAATATACACGATGATGCATTTTACAAATTGAGTAAATTGAACTTAAAATCAGTTCTATCTCCACTATTCGTTAGCTTAGTATCTTATAAGTCTGTATTTTAAACAATTTTGAGATCAATGTAAACCTACCTAAATTATGATAATTTAATTTGCGGTCAGCATAATTCTCTAATTTCAAAAAAAAAAAATAATGCTTGGCAATACTGTAATATTTTATAAAAATATTCTAGGATTGAATACAGTATTACTAAAATATTCTAAAAATAAAATACATACATTTTTATTTGCCAGGAAAAACGCAATACCCTGTATATCCAAAAATATTTTTTAAATATCTATTTTTCAAATCTATATAACTTTTATTAGATTAAATTTGAAGTTTAAAATTTACTGTTTATTCATTTTTGAATTATCGTCGAAACCTAAAGTACAGTTGAAAAGTCGAAAAAAAAAAAAAACAATCCTATACTTTACTGGATACATGAAAGTTAAAACCTAATTTGAAAAAAATACATTTAAGCATATTAGATTTGTATAATTATTTGAAATGTTCAATTTTATAAAACAACTAAAGGCACCATTAACACTCTGGCTCCGATATCCAACAAAATAAGCAAGCAATCGATTTTTGCTAAGAGGCCGTTTAGTCGTTTTTCTAAATTTTTACCACTTCCGTACAGACATTTTCCGGACCACAAAACGTAAAATCAATATCTCAAAGAGTCTTTCTCTCATTACTTACATATCCTTCATGCTCTTACGCAAATATTGAATATGTTTAATAATTGAAATAATATGCATATTAATTAGTAAACTCTTAAATAAGAACCTGCGTATTTGAATTTATTTCGAGACGCCTTTAGCGCCATCTATTAGAGAAGCTCCGAATTAACCTGTGGCTACTTGTATGCAATTTTAAGAAGTTTTCTTTTATATTCTATGCAATTTTTACATATAAATGGCGATTTATAATTTCTTCCAAAATTTACTTCAATGAGCTTTTAAGGAAATTGACGCAATTAATTTAAATATTTTAAACGACATTTGTTGCTTTAGTATATAGCCTATTCAAAGAAGAATTATTTTCACCATCGGGTAATTATTACTGGTATATTTTTAGCTTTATTTCATCGTAAAAATTACCATATTTTGGGAATTATTTTTAAACGATCCCTGATAGTTAAAGACACCAAAAACCTTTATTGAACAGTAGTATATATCTATTATCGGCAAGAATTTTTTCACTTTTCTCTTTGTTGTAGTTTCAGGTAAAAAGTCATTGAAAGAGCGTTGTGTATGCCTATGTTAAATACATTGCCTACGCCCGCCCTTAACACGGTGTCCGATTTCAATGATTCTTCTTTTGTTAGAAAGAGGGTACTTTAGGGGTGGTCCCATATACATTTAGTCAAAATCTAATAATTGGGTCCATGAGAAAATCCTCAAACTCTTAATTTTTCATGTATGTTTAGCGATAATGCTTTACGACCTTGTCCTATTTATATGATTCTCTTTTTTGTTAGTAATGGGGTACCTCAGGAATGGCCACATATAAATTTGGATAAGATGTGCTGACGGCATCTGCACGTTTTTGAAGTCAGTTTTTTTAAATTTTTAATTTAGATCACTTGTACAAAATAAATTGAATTAAATAAAAGAAATCGAAAGAAGACAAATAAAATTTAATTTCAAAAGTTATAAAGAACGAGTAGAGGCGCCGAGAGAGGCGATCAGCAGCAGAGGTAAAAACGTTGGTAGAGAAGGAGAGTAGCAGATATCAAGTAGGAGAGAAGCAGGAAGAGATATTTAGAAGAGCAGGACGAACAGGTAGTGGCAGAAAGGGCAGATAAAAGAAGACAAGTTGAAGCACAAAGGAAACAAGAAAATATTTTTTCAAAATTTCAAGCTTTTTATGGAATAAATGAAATGAAACACTCAAAATTATGTAACACATACAATTGTGCTGAGAAATGAACAAAGGTCGACAACCGGTTTCGGCTATAAAACCATCATCAGTTACAAGTTAGATAAAAATGTACGAGTCTTCAACAATACCGGTATCCCATGTGACTAAATTAAATTGATACCATAGTTGACTAAAAGTAACATTTATTTAACACCTTTGATTCGTTGATTAGATGATTTCTTACTTCATTTTTCTTAATATTATGCGAAATAATTC